ATTGAGTATTTTCATCAATAGATTAATGAATCAAGAATGAATTATTGAAGATAAGCATTTTTTCTGATAAAATGAATACGAAGATTGATTCTTGACTGAATATTACGTTCCTTGGCCGCGGCGGCGGCCCTATCGTTGGCCTCCTGAATGAATGCCGCCAGGCGTTCCTCATAGGCCAGGAGGGATTCTCCCGCCTTCCGGTCCATGGCCTTGGTCTGTGATCGAGTGAGCAGTGTCATGCACTGCTGTGCCCGAAGTCTGAAGAGTCACTCGAGGGCCAATCTGATGGAGCACGACTGTTGTTGTTGTTGTTGTTGTTGTTGTTGTTGTTGTTGTTGTTGTTGCTGTTGTTGTTGTTGTGCAGGTCGGTAACGTGGAGCACGGCTATGGCACCCAGGTAAGTACCGCTGACGCAGGTATGGCCTCCGCCCCTCTTCTTCTTCTTCTTCTTCTTCTTCTTCTACTTCTTCTTCTTCTTCGTCTTCTTCTTCTTCTTCTTCTTCTTCATCCTCTTCCACTTCTTCTTCTTCTTTTTCTTCTTCTTCTTCTTCTTCTTCTTTTTCTTCTGCCTCTTTTTCTTTTTCTTCTTTTTCTTCTTCTTCTTCTTCTTGTGGTTGTTGTTGTTGTTGTTGTGCAGATCGCCAGCGAGGAGCACGGCTATGGTGCCCAGGTAAGTACCGTTCATGCAGGTATGGCCTCCGCCCCTGTTCTTCTTCTTCTTCTTCTTCTTCTTCTTGTTGCTGTTGTTGTTGTTGTTGTTGTNAGGTCGCCAATGTGGAGCACGGCTATGGCGCCCAGGTAAGTACCGCTGACGCAGGTATGGCCTCCACCCCTCTTCTTCTTCTTCTTCTTCTTCTTCTTCTTCTTCTTCTTGCTGTTGTTGTGGAGGTCGCCAGTGTGGAGCACGGCTATGGCGCCCAGGTAAGTACCTCTGACGCAGGTATGGCCTCCGCCCCTTTTCTTCTTCTTCTTCTTCTTCTTCTTCTCCTTCTCCTTTTTCTTGTGGTTGTTGTGGTTGTTGATGTTGTTGTTGCTGTTGTTGTTGTTGTTGTTGTTGTTGCTGTCGTTGTTGTTGTTGTTGTTGTTGTGCAGGTCGCCAGCGTGGAGCACGGCTATGGCGCCCAGGTAAGTACAGCTGACGCAGGTACAGCCTCCGCCCCTCTTCTTCTTCTTCTTCTTCTTCTTCTTCTTCTTCTTCTTCTTCTTCTTCTTCTCTTCAGAGCTCTACAGAAGAAGAAGAAGAAGAAGAAGAAGAAGAAGAAGAAGAAGAAGAACAAGAAGAAGAAGAATTTGGGCGGAGGCCATACCTGCGTCAGCCGTACTTAACTGGGCGCCATAGCCGTGCTCCACACTGGCGACCTGTACAACAACAACAACAACTCCACATACCTGCGTCAGCGGTACTTAACTGGGCGCCATAGCTGTGCTCCATACTGGCGACGTGAACAACAACAACCACAACAACCACAAGAAGAAGAA